ATGCAGCTTATGCTGACGATGAATTAATTGCCTGTACTGTCTACTATGAGTCAAATCAATTTTCACAGCATTTGACCTTTCATTGTGTTTAATATTGATAAGTAAATTAAAGGTGATAAAAAATTAACTCAAATGAATTTAAACAGACATATAATGTCTAATATTATGCAGTTGGTTAATTAATTAGTGTCAATTATTCACTAATTAAAGACAATTTTACCTAGATAACGTACACAATATCCCCCCCCCTCCACAATTAAGAACTTATCAAGAAGCCTCTTCAGGGCTGATTCTCACAATGTATCACTATATAATATAAGAACCACTTCAGCCTGAAACAGACACAATTACGGGTTCTTTTATGCGGGTGTTTACTGTATCCATCTAGGTTATTTATACGCACTTTTTTAATTCAGTTTTTTACACTAGACGATTTGCAGCCCGGATATACTGCGCGCAAGGCGCGAACAAGCGCCGCCTTGCGTGGCGCCTTTTGATCGAAGTTTCGCTGCCTCTATGGAGAACAATTTTCCCGGTTGTCGTCATAACGGCGTCAATAATCGTCAATTGGATAGGAGTGTAATTGTGGCGCTTGCACGAAGCCTTTCGGACTATGCCACGTGGCGAGAATAAATCAAATGCCGCTAAATGCTACTTGCTGGTTGGCGCTTTAGGTTTCCCTCTACGAAAAGCGATTTTCAATTTATTGAATGTCACGCCTGAACTTATTCATGCGTAGGACATATGGCGTCTCATAGATGGCGGCGACCGAGCTCTCTCTTACGAGGGATTTTCCAGAGAATATTTCTCGCACACAAGGAACGGCGATTCGGCTTAGACTGCTCCGCGGTGGACAGTTCCACACGCTGCACTAACTATAACTTTAGTGTTATACTTGGCCGAGTTAAAGTCCGTACCAGTCTAGCTGGAATCGTGACGTGGGCTTTTAATTATCGTAGCCATGTTGGTTGCCCTCACGTTCATTGGCTAAGCCCGTTGATTGATGTTTGTTTAGACTGAGAATTCCCACTAGATGTTCTCTGGCAAAAAAAAACCGCCGCCGTGGCGTCAGCAGAATCAGTGCGGGCGTCTGAAGGTCTACGAATGTTAAGAATTAACCGCGCAAAACCTTTCTGCATTTAACGTTGCGCAAAACTTTTTCAATATCCGTAGGTGAAACAGAGTACGCCTATAGCCTTAAACCGACCAGGCTCTCCGACTAGTGAGGCCCCCTCTCGCCACGTAGTGTTAAGCGAGATGGGAACTTGTGGCTAGCCTAGCCTATAGTATAGAAACATTAAGAATTTTGTACTAAGTAAATAACATTTACGGACTGTTGGATGAGTTTTTTATTGAAATCGTATGAAAATACAGCGAGTGTATTTAGTTAGCATTATATTCTATTGAAACGCTTCAAGTGCCTGTGCCTTCAGTCTATGGAAAACTACCAAGGTCGGAGAATTGCGCCCTCACGTACGTACACGCGCCGGCGATTTGCCGTTTGCGTTATCACGCGCGGGACAGCTGAGCGAATTGCACGAGGGGAGCGGCTGATCTACACTAACGTACCGGCACAGGTGGGAGGAAAGCCACTAGACGCTACCGGACAGTACCAGGAGAGCCCGATAGAAAACGAGGAGCAGCTCAACACAACACCCGCATCATGCAGGAGGGTCTAGGAGAGCCTCGAAGTAAACTTCGGTAGCCCAGTCAATCAACCGAACGCAGACGCACTCCGAAATTCCCGCGACATTCTGGACAGGCTCAGACGAGGACGACGATGAAACTCCGCATGTAGCCGGACAAGCAATGCCTGTTTCCCAGCGACATGTCAGCGCAAGACGAAAAAAGAAGAGTCGGATACAATTCTTCGGATTCCGATTCGGATTGGAATTCGGATTCGGAAGAAAGAAGAGAGCGGCAGTAAGAAGATAGCGCAAGTAAGGCGCTATAGTACTACAGCTATAAGTCTCTATACGATACTCTAGGCCGGGATATTGCAGCGTAACCATGTCTCCACAGGCCTCAGTAGAATATATATATATGATTGCCGTGAAATTGGACTATTTGGCCCGCCTTTTTCCGCCTGTGGTGTTTTATTAGCTGTTGATACATATACATATATATATATCAGTACTATGTTATAAGAGCAGAATAATTCCTTATTAGTAACGATTAACAACTATTAGTGAGTCTAACGTAAATATGAAAGTTCATGTTTATATTTGCAACATCTGCGCTTATAGCGCTTGGGATTAACACCTCCTTTCGGCAACGCTTCTCTAGTATCCCGTCTCATCTGGATGGCGCCACAATGTCACAATTCAACAGCGCATTTCCTAATGACATTGGATGATGGCGCCTCTAGCGGATCGCTATATCTTGGTGTATGAAGTTTGTTTGAAATCAGTACCTTTCTAATGAACACCACAGTGAACCTATTTTCGATGTGTATGTGCGTGGGTGGGATGGGCGTACATCTTTTCATCTATCTACCTATATCTCTCTCTCTGTTTGTGTGTGCGTGCGTGCAACCACGCGCTGAAGATGAACATCAGCTAATAGATAATTTGCATCCCGCGTGTACTATTTGTATGAATATGGCTTTGGCGTCTTTATTATGACAATTACGCTCTGCCCATTATTGAATTTATCAATACTGTTTCATATTTCACACTGAAACTTGTTCATTTACGTGGGCACAAAAACTTTCCACGTGCTTGCGCGCAAATTGGTGCCTGCAACGATTGATTTTGCAATTATTTCCCCGATAAATACTAAAACTAAAACTACCCACACACAGCAGTGATGAGTGGGTGTAACAGTAGCTTACATGACGTCTACAATGCAATAGTTCTACTCGAAGGTAAACATTTTATTAAAACTAATGACGTACAATACATCTGTACATTGCTCAATGGCAGACTTTTACCAATTAATATCCCGACCCGGCATAAAATGTGTGTTTCCTGGTGAACAATGCAGAGAGTTCAGGTTCCGTTTCAGTCGGTACATTTAATGCACGTAGTAATGCACCAGAAAGACACGTTGATAAAATCCCCATATAATTTCTTTACAATTTAAGATCATAAGTGGAGCATAAGTTAATTGTATACGTGTGCATTTCTTCTTCTACCTAGATTTACGTAAAAGACATTTCCGATTGGCCAACACCTCAGGAAATACATCACGTCGAATGTACACCCACGTACAAACACACATATTTATACAATAAATAAGACCAGTAGAGCTTCACATGATTTCATGGCCAAGTATTTGAGATTGATAACTACTTTAACGTACAACATTCATATATGCACACACATACTCCGACGACCATTTTAAGAACAACCAACCACAAATTCAATTCAAAGAACGAACCGATACAGCTTTAAGTTGCTATAAAGATACAGGCAGCAACATATGGCGACAATGAGAAATATATTGCCGGTACATTTTGAATAGAGTACATTGAATACATTAAGAAATACTTCGTAATTGAATGTCACACGCTTAACAACGGCACCTCGATATTGAGAAATTCGTGCTCCTACATCGTTGTGTCACAGCTTCCGAATTTGAACAAAGTGCAGCCCAGCATTCTACATAGAATGCTGGCAGTTACATCGACAAACCTAAGTTCAGTTGCTACGTGCGCTCCTTCTTCTTCACTGTCCGCTTACTGATGTGCTTCTGAATTATGTCTTGTACTTGCGGCTTATGGTCCAGCAATTTCATCATCATAGCTTTCGCCTCGAGCAACTGATCTTTGGCGATTTTACTCCGCTGGACGTTTCCCTGAGAAGAGAACATTTTCGTTTAAAATAATGTTCGTGTATATATATGTGATAGGATTTAGATGCCAGAGTTAATTGCTATGGCACAAAACACAAAACATTCCTTCGCGTCGATCGTGGCGTTCTACCACGATACCGATGCATCAAGGTGCACTATCAAGAGTGCACAATCAAAAGTGCACTATCAAGAGTGCACAATCAAAAGTGCACTATCAAGAGTGCACAATCAAAAGTGCACTATCAAGTGTACAATCAAAAGTGCACAATCAAGAGTGCACAATCAAAAGTGCACAATTCTTCTGGATACGCATCGTGACAGTGCATCACTAGTCACACACTGCAACAGTTACAATTACAACACACAGGAAGACCCGAGAAAGACAACCGACGTGGACGATCGAGAAACAGACATGCACGGCTGTCTACCGGAGTTGTGAAAGATACTGCAGTTCCAAATGTTTCTGCCAACAGCTGTCTGGAGTAGAGGAACAGGAGTAGACATACACATGATACATACGGGAGTAGATCTACACATACACACACACCTATAAACATATACATATATATATATATATATATATTATAAGGGAGTAGAGGAACCCGTATCTTATATACGGTATTATATCTCAACGAGCATACCTTGACGATCTCGAGCACGATGGACAGCTCGTCGCCGGAGAAACCCGGCTTCGTCTTACAGGAGAGGCCCTCCTGCACGCTGCTCAGCCGCTTCAGCACCTCCTCCTCTGCATCGGTCATCTCGTCGAGCTGCGTCGTGAGGTGGTGCAGCTTCCATCCGTGCGTGCGCTGCAGCATGTTACGCTGGTTCGCAAGCTCGTTCACCGTCGGCCGTCGGTCATCTGAAACACGGAGTGTCCTCATGACCACCGTGATGATATGTTCCCATTGTAAAGGCCCCCGCACACGTTGAGCTTCGTGCTCAGCAGGAACCTCACACCCCGCACGCGCTGAGTTGTCAGCCTCGCGAGACCAAAATAATCAAACACGACAGATATTTTCCTCACTGTCTCGCGAGACCGAAAACTCGGTGAAATCGACCGCGCACATGGTGAGGTTTCTGCTCAGCACGAAGCTCACGCTCAGTGCTCAGCAGGAACCTCACTGTGTGCAGGGGCCTTAAGTGTTTCCATTGCTACACAGTGTTACTGCCAGCACACAATGTTATCACAGTGACACAGTGTTACCACTGTGACACAATGTTACTGTCATGACACAGTATTATCACAGTGACACAATGTTATCACAGTGACACAGTGTTACCACTGTGACACAATGTCACTGCCATGACACAGTGTTACCACAGCGACACAATGTTACCACAGTGATAGAGTGATTTCACGACAACAGAGTAATCTCGCTATGGCATGGTGTTTGCACAAATACAAGACAACACAAACACATTTAGTATGCTGCTGCTGAACTAAGCTCTGCTAATTACATTACTTGACTTTCATACTGACCAATTATTGAAGCAGAGCTCTGCGATTGGCATGAATACCACCTTACCAGTATCAATCCCATGTATTACGCTCAGCCACCGCCCAGGATAAAAAACGAAAACGGTGGGCTACGGCGAACAGATTGAGATCGGGACACGATAGTAATGGACGTCATGTGATATTCTATCATGCTAACAGTACTACTGACACCAACCTTTAACCCGGACATCAGAGTGGCGCAGGAAATGATTGTGGCATGCTTTCCAAGCAGGTCTGTATGTGCTGAGCAGTGTCAGACTGGCTGATCGCTTCGGGTAGGCTACATACCGCTTCTCTTCAAGCTCTTCTATTAAATAACACACAAACTAGTTACAATCGGAATTAGTTGTGGCTAATAATCCTGTTTTCGCAGATAACAGATAAACTTGTATTATGCTTACAAAGGTGAAACTATTTTACGATTTTATTTATTTCATCAAATATTTTGCAAACTGCTTTTGCGAAGTCTAAGTACAGTCATTGTTAACACGTGATGAACACAAAGTTTGATACAGCTTAAATTCGTAACTCAGTAGACCTAATCACATAATACCAATAAATATCTTTTTTATTATGTTTATAATGAAGAAGTATTTCCCACACTAAGTTTCCAAAGTTTTCTCATAATTTTGCATAGTAACTAAAAACAGTTCATTAAATGCTTCTAGATATCAAACTACTTGATATCATTAATAATATGTGTCACTGCGCGCTGTTTTTAATTCCTTTCGTGTCACTCAGTGCTACTGTGACCATTGCCCAAATGCACGTACTTTCACATGACGGTGTTCTGACTTGCTGCAGTCTTCCCTCATCCTTCACCGCCTGCTCTTTTAACCTCTCCAGCTGTCGTTCGAGCTCCTTGCGTTGTCTGTCGCGCTCCTCCTCCTCCGCCACCTCAGGATCCACAAACTCCTCGTTCGCAGCACTGCCAAAAGAAGATGCCATCATTTCAACATCGCAAAAAAAATCCTGCGTGATTACTTCACACAATTCATGGGCATCTGAATGACGATGTCAGTTTCAAGTTCTCAAATCTCATATTTAATCGTGCAAGTACAGCTGCCGGTGCAACTGCCAAGTAGTCCTGCATATTTTCTTCTTATCTCATTGCAGTTTGAACTTTGAATGTGTTTACCCATGTTTATCTATAAAACACACATGGATTCCTAAACTCCACGATTACGGTTCAACATAATTATGTTTGTAATGTGTTTACAAATTAAGACGAGCACTTTCGCTTACAGCGCAAGCATTGTCTCACGATAGAGACGCGCACTTACAGGAGCTGTTTTCTCGGTTTCTTCCTCGGGGAAGCTTCCACAGAATGACATGCACTCGTTGACACCGCAACAGCTGCTACCAATGCCATACCTGAAGCAAACATACCATGTATGTCACTCTTCCTATGCAGCCATTGCGCCTTCACCGCTACTCAAACGAACGTTAAAACAGCATTCACCAATGAAAAGCTGTCATAAACGTTCGCACACACAACTACCCTTTCTTAATTGCCACATAAAAATGTCCCAAAAATGCCACGTTTAGCACAAACAAGCTTTGTGAATTGATGAATATAGCAAAATTTACTAGGCAGTAGTTTTTTATGCAGTCATTCTACAGAGATGGTTTCAAGGTATAACTGCCACACAAGAGAAATGCCTAGCATCCTATGTAGACAGGTTGTTTTCGTTCTATACATGTGTTCACTCACACAGGTTTGACTCTACAGTACATGTAACTAGTAGCCATGTTACACGCGATTTGTCAGCATTATTGCCTACGCGAGCACTGTCAGGAATTACCTGTTGGATCTCACTGCTGTCTAGCTGAAAGATATTCGAGTGAAACGTCTGTGCAAACCAGATATCTGTGACGAGGCAAGCCAGTGCTGCTGAGGATGCTACGAGAACTGTCACCATCACTGCCTACCGCCGTCGCAAATAATTAGCAGCAGCAGCAGCAGCACATCGTAGAGTTACGGAACGGCCGAACGCACCTGACATCTGGGAGGAGTCGAGCCAGTCTTGCGTCTCCTGCTTCATCTCCGTGGTACTGATGCTGCTGAAGTCAGAGATCTGTGACTGCAGCTCGTTAGAGTCGGCTGACTCTGTGCTGGAATGGCTTCCTTCGCGCACCTCTGTCGGTTCCATGAACAAACTACAAGCAAAGCAACCTTGCTCCTGTTCAACTGTATCTGTATTCGTATATTCACACATGGTACACATAGTCAACGAGAACCACTACTGCATGAACGTCTGTCACCGTGCTTATTAAGACAAATCTCAAGTGCTTGTCTGTTACCGTACTTATTAAGACGAATCTCAAGTAGTTATCTGTTATCGTACTTATTAAGACGAATCTCAAGTAGTTATCTGTTATCGTACTTATTAAGACGAATCTCAAGTGCTTGTCTGTCACCGTACTTATTAAGAGCGTATGCCGCGCACTCAGCTCTCACCTTGCTTTTGATCTGACGACCTCCAATCAAAAACCGCACGAGATTCCTGCATCGGGCTGTTCTGCTCGCTGCCGCCTGGTGTCATGCACAGCTGCCTGTTTCTACCGGCGTCGTCCGTTCGGTCGCCGCTTGCGCAGGATGCGTCGCCGCGCGACGTCCGTGCTTGTTGTTTGGGAATCGGCGGCTCGAGCGTCTGACGTTGGCCAGGCGTTGTTCGGACAGTGAATGCGTCGTCCGCGGACGCCCGAGATCCGGTCAGGTATGGCATCCGCGCTCACGACTGAAATACAACAGGCGTTGCATCAGTGCAGTCTTATATTTATATGATTAAAGCTAGTATTTAAAATGAAAAAATGCTAAAAAATCGTAGAAACTCAATGACCGACGGTGTTATATCGTTCCCGATGACGTCATATCACTGAATCCCATACATGTTGTTGCGAACACGTGACAAACTCGACGTGCAGATTATATTATAATTTAGTTACGCAATAATATCGCAGATGCAAATATCAGCCGATGCAGACGACCATATCGAAAAAACAACAACCAACGTTGTACCGACGAGCAACATTACAGCACACCTAACGCACCGATGTTAATCAACATTGTCCGAAACGCAACCAACAGTTACACTGCATACGTTAGAATTAAAAGTGTGTCAAATACATTTGCAGACAACAACATTACAAGCAACATCACACGCAAGCTGAGCATGTTTTGCATTTCTCCAACACTGTATCAACACTTTCCATTGAACTGAAATGTATCGAGGCTATGTAGTTGCTTATAGCGGTTAGCAATTCCAAACAGTGTAGGTTATGCCTGTTAGATGCACAAGGAACTACATTCCTCCCCCTCCACCACACAATATTTATACCAATCTGCGTTACAGATCTGTTTGCAAAAATTAGTGATTGGGAGGCCGATTGACCAAACAGAACAGTCTAAATTCTATTGTCCGTCCGAGATGAGACGTGGTACACTCTGTCATCAGCGAGTGTATGAATGAAACTCACAGGTGGGTCCGTAAACAGTGAACTTATCCTTGCGGCGGCTGGCCCGCGTCGGCTCTTATGAGGCATAGGCTGAGTGGTCTGCAGCGGCACGCCAGCAGACACCTGCAGTGCTGCCGTCTGCACTGACGCGGAAATGCTCTACGTTGGATTCTGACAGAAACTACGGCAAACAATGTAACAGCACACTGTTAACTATTGCACTACAGCAGAATCACGTGTCCTCATTTTGTTTGAATTAGGTCCGCACTGTTTGAGACGTCGTTGCAAATTAATTTCGTTATAATAAATACGTTATGCCGTTATGCGTGATATCCGCTTATTAGTGATGACTATATTCGCTATATTTTTCAGATTGCGCATATTTTAAGGCGATGAATTTGAATAATTACTTTAACGGAAAATATTTTGTGAGCAGGAGAGAACTCCGCGCTTGAATACAGCTCACCCGGTGTGCAGCTGCTGATGGTTTGTCGGAGACCGCAGAAGCGGAGCAGCAAACTATGCGCCGCTGTAGAATAGGCCTGGTATCTGCGGCCCCACAGCATTGGTAGTAATATGCAGCTGCACCCGCCGTATATCGGCGTGAAGTGATCATCGTGCAAGGCTCGAGGTCCTTCATAAAGCGAAAACATTAAAACACTTTAGCTTAGACATGTAACAAGGACCACTTGTTCTTAAAATGCTATCAATTACCAAGAATTTCATAGACTTGACCATATTGTGCAGGGCCGTCGCCAGGATCGACTAATGGTTATTGGTTGAAGCCCAGTCACGAAGTGCGAAGCGCCGTAAAGGGAAAGTGTTGCAGGGGTTTCCTCCCTGGTGGGGGTCCGGGGCATTAAAAATGAAATTTTAACATTTGAAACACAGTAAAAAGTACATTACAACTATTTAATTTCACAATTTAAAAAAAAATCCGGAAATGATGTTGAAGCCCATGCTTCCAGGTCTCTGCCTGACGACGTGCCTGTTATGGGTTCAGCAGACTGTAATCAGTGCATCCAGCTTTTATTACACGTACCGAATTTCTTGAGGTCGGTTATCAGACACGGACATGATGGTGCTGCTCCTCTGTGTGCCAGCCATGTAGACCGGTGGTTGGCTGATTTCTACGTTGCTGTCAGTGAGCACACGGGCCGGCCCTTCACCCTGCTGCCATCCTGCACTCGTTGTCTGCACTTGTTGTGGGTATACTTTAGCTGAATTATGGTGGCACGACATAACATATGAGATACGTCGAATGTAACATCTAAGATAAGGTATGATAAAAGATATTTCACACACGCGTGCATGACCGATTAAAACCGCAGCGCCTAAATATAGAAACAATCAAATTACGTCCTAAACATTTATATCGCATCCCAATTGGCATAATTATTCTTACTATTAATAACTATTAATTAACACCATAAACCTCAAGTTAAAAAATGTAACCTTGTCAGCTGAAAAGCTTACAAATATATCAATTTCACTAACCCACGGGAATTGATGTTATAGTCGTTGCCATGGTAGGATGAGACTGCGTACTACTGAGAGAGAATGTTGTGATCGTTGCTAAAACGAAAGACATTAAACACGTTAACACCTGTAACACATCAATGCTGAAACACAACAATGATACCCACATATATAGCAGCTAGCAGAACATTCCGCATTTCACCACTGGATACTACTCTGTTGCACTTAACCCCTCTCATCGAAAATCACGGCTGCACAAGAAACATAGATATGATGATGATTGCCATATAACATCTATGCCGCAGCATCGAGTGATATATTTTGTCTAACAAATAACGGTTTAAGACCACCATATACACACACATTTTAAAACCAATTCATTTACATGTTAGTGACATTACATACATTAGAGCAATGCTCATTTAAGGCAAGCACGTCTCTACTTTGAACAGAATCTTGCAAGCACAGACATTATTACGCAACACGTGTGTGCATGTTCCGCGTGCGTGAATGTGTGTGCATGCGTCTGTGTGTTTGCATGTGTGTGCGCACGTATGTGCGTGC